CTGACTGCGATGTTGAAGACTGACCAGGTGCGGGGGGTGAATATACAATTATTAAACAAACACGATAAATACCTCCACTCTCACTCGGATTGCTGTCAACTTGCCTCGTTGGGGTGGATGGCAATGGTGGTGTTTCCCCTCTTCAAATGAAGCCCCGAACTGTATAACAGATGCAGGACACGTGGTCGTCTTGTTCCTGACACTGCAGCGCCAGTAAGCTCGGGCAGTTGTTGATTTCTGTTACAAAACAATATTATTATACACCGTGATTACATTCAACTTATTTATATATTATGTATTTATTACTTATACATTATTTATTATATATAACATTTCTGAAGTTATATATTTAGGAAAAAATCTGTACTTACCCGGATGACATATGTGAATCCATATGAATCGACCAGCTTCTTCTTTCCTTTCTGAGAACCAATCTCCACGATTGTGTACTCGTTGTCCGAGATATCAGCAGTAGGGGGGGTCGAGGAGGGTGCTGTCTACCACGGAATGGTTGACACTGAGTTTGGGCGATTTGAGTTGTGATGTTTTCACACTAAATTTACAGGCTTTTCCAATCACTCTCGGCACAGTAGATGTTTTGACTATCGAAACATTCTACAAGCCGATTATCAGTCAGACTCATTCATTATCTAAACATACTGGAATCCGATTATCAGCTTACACAAACTTTCCAATCACTGTATTCAGATTATCTAATGACAAATAAGATGTTCCCAATAATTAGGATTTTATTTGGTGCCGTTTTCACCATAAGATTTGTAGCCGTTTTCTCCAAGTCGAGGTTCCGTTATGTCCAAATGGTGCCGTTTTCGCCTGGTGCCGTTTTGCTGTGGTTCCGTTTTAGCCTGCACCCCACCAGTTATGTCACGACTTTGTACATCGCGGTCCCTAACGTAAGGAAAAACTTCATTCTTTGTTCCATAAGCCATCCCTGTGGGCATCTCTCTCATCTGTTTCTTATGGATCGGATCGGAAAGTCACTGTCAAAGTCAAAACAAAGGGAACTGACAAAGGAACTAATCTCAGGTGCATTTTTTTATTTTTCCAACAGCCAGGGATAGTCAATTCCCATCTAAAGATGTACCCGAAATAACACGCAATAAACAGAAGCTTGGGACCACTTCATCTGTGTCTTATTGAGAGTGAGTTTAGTTTTACGCCAATTTTAGAAATTTTCCTGCAATATCACAAAAGCTTTAACCACTAGGCTACCGCAAAGTCCCGTCGTATTTAGATCTGTGCCTCGAGACTGTATGACAAGGGGATGACTTCGACATTACAATAGTCATCTTTGCTTTCATTTTACGATTACTAAATTCGTCTAACCGTGTATTACGTCTAATACGTCTAGCCTTTGGTGTCCATATTTCACAATTGTTAGGAACAATCGGAAACGCCCTTTAGCCGACTCGACCTGCCGGAATATTGCTAAAACCACTCATTCAGTCACAAGCCCTATATAAGTAGATTTCAAAGAATGTCCTAAGCAATTTTCAGCTGCGACTCATATGTTTGTTTTACAGGCGATTGGCTGACCTTCCTTTGCATGTGTTTGTGTCGGGTAACACAGGTGAGGCAGGATACGGTCACCTTTTTGCCCAAATCGTGTATCGTTACTACTTAATCCTCTGATTTACAGACACATGCGATCCGTGAAGATCCGGGTTAGAATTGATCTTCAGTAACCCATGCTTGTTGTAAGAGGCGACTAACAGGATCGGGTGGTCAGGCTCGCTGACTTGGTAGACACATCTTTTTGTATCCCGATGAACTCAATGCTCTTGCTGTTGATCACTGGATTGTCTGGTCCAGACTGGAATATTTACAGACCGCCTCCATATAACTGGAATATTGCCGTGCGGCGTAAAACTAAATTCACTAACTCACTCACTACAGACACATGCCCGTGTGTTTAACAGAGTTATCTTGGGAATACTGACAGCGTTTTCTAGCTATATCTTGTAAATAGGGTTGAGGTTATTGACAGTTGGGCCCATTCAGGTCGACGTCAACAGGTCCGGGATAACAAACTGCATCTGTGGACCATGTGTGTTGAAATCATATATAATGATGATACTGAAAGCCAGTTTAATTTCACTTTAGTTGTCCCCAGATGGGAACTGGGCTACTGTCTAGTACGGCGGGGTTCGACATTAAGAGGACAGTGAGTGAGTGAGTTTAGTTTTACGCCACTTTTAGCAATATTCCAGCAATATCACGGCCAGGGACATCAGAAATGGGCATAAAACATTGTAACCATGTGGGGAATCGAACCCGGGTGTTCGGAGTGAGGTGCGAACGCTTTAACCATTAGGCTATCCCACCGCCCCAAACCGCCTCCGTGGTGTAGTGGTTAGAACGTGCGCCCGGGGAGCGGAAGGTCGCGGGTTCGATCCCCGACCGCGTCATACCAAAAGACGTTAAAATATGGTACTTGTTGGTCCCGGCCTGGCGCTCGGCATTAATGGGTACAACAAGGATTGGTTGCCTCCGAGTCAGTATAATGTGTCTGAGTGGGGTATTCATGCTTCACTGCGGCATGGTATATCAGTGGGCTAGCACTATACAATCAGCTTAAGTATGCAGTATGGACTAGTACAAGCAGCCGCACACACACACACACACACACACACACGCACACAACACACACACACACACACACACACACACACACACACACACACACACACACACACACACACACACACACATGCATGTACGTCGTCATATGAGTGAAATATTCTCAAGCACGACGTTAAACCCAATTTCACCTCACCTCACCTCACCCAGCGCCCCAAGATTACAATGACAAGCGTATACGTTGACACGTAAAAATATACGTGTCTATCTCAGGGTACAATATTATTTTATTTTATTTTATACTGCACAAGTATCTCCATAAGTGGGACATATAGGTCGCAACAAACGATTTGGTGCCATGGGAATCAAAATCTGGTAAAGCTCTTACTCTATGACCAGATTGTTTTCATGGCATAAAAGTAAGTGAGTGAGTTATTAGTTTTACGCTGCTTTTAGCAATATTCCAACAAGATCACGGCAGGGGACACCAGAAATGGGCTTCACACATTGTACCCATCTGGGAATCGAACCCGCATCTTTGACGTAACGAGTGAACACTTTAACCACTAGGCTACCCCGTCGCCCCAATACGAATATTACTCTCTATGAATTTAACTCAGACATAAAACAGTAGTTCTCACATATTCTCTTCCCTTTGCAGATTAAGAAATATTTGACCAACTACCAACTCTAATTCGCTTTCGTCAGTGTTTCATGACGTCAAAGGCTGCAAGACATACCTGTCTCAGAACTCTTCCAATACACGAAGAAAAATACTTACGTATAATTTGTGGAATATTCAGCCACAAAGGTGTAAAAAGAATGGCGTGTTCATTAACTTTCTTGGATGTAGACGGAGAAAGCAATTATTTTTAGATCGTTCATACTTTGAAGTACATGTATATGCATTGAGTCAACAGACTATTTATCTCGTAGGTGTTGATAAATGCAGATGGTGTGACTAACGGTATTTGTTCTGTAACTAAAGCCAGACTTAGTGTTTACGAATGGCACACAGTTATACTATATATACTCTGGTTCCATGATACTGACCAACACTCACCTGCAGAATGAAGATGACTCGTCTCGGCCTCGTTATTCTGACGTTAGCGACTCTAGCTGACTATGCAGTTTGTTCAAGTTTACAGTCTAGGTCCAAACGAGGTGAGAGCTCAGCTCGAGTAAACAACTGATTTTTGTGAGATATATATTTTTGAAAGGGTCTGTGATTAAGTTTGCATGACTTTATTCACCATTTTGTGAATACCAGCGATTCTTCTGTAAGTCATCCTCTTACAACCAAAGCAGGTTGGTGGGGTAGCTTAGTTGTTAAGCCTGGCTCGACGGGCCGAAATTTTTGGTTCGATTCCACACATGGGTTGAATTTGTGAGGCCCTTTTCTGCCGCCCCTGCCATGATTTTGCAGAAATCTTACCAAAACATCCATACTCAGTGCTTCATACATCATTTTCTTTGTTGTATATTATTTTAAGCAATTGTCATTGGCTCTTGTGTTCGTTAACGCATCGTAAGTATCATCCGTGTTTGTTTTAACCTATCTAAGTCTTGTAAACAAGCGACCTCAGCTGTAAAATAACACTTCACAAATCATGTGCCAATCAGTGTTGCCTTCACCACCACGTGGTGTCCCAAACAATAGAACATTCACGTTATGACTTTCAGATTCTACCGTTCTGTGGAGAAACTCTTTGTCCTCTATTTGTTTGAACTAAGACGTGTTTGATTTGATATCTTTAGGACTTCATTGCTAAGAGTATACAATTCCGGTCAGAGTTATGTCCCCTGTTCCAGCCAGGAACCACTTGACGTTGCATTCGTCCTGATTCGTACCTCACTAGTTGTCGCCAACGCCAGTAACGGCTTCCATGGACAATGGATGTCTGTGTTCCTCACTTCGTTACCATAGGTGGTTCCAGAGGAGGGTGGTGCCGAGGTGCGCCCCTTTTGTCTTGAAAGTTTAATAAATGACCATTGTAACTCTCGTGAAAACGGGTGAAAATGACCTGTGCACCCCCACCCCCCTTTCTCAAAAACCTGTATCCGACCCTGGTTACATAGTACATTGTTTCCAGTTAAATAACCTTCATGATTTTAATTTGAAATGAAACAGTGGATAGACCATGTACCTGGTTGGGGAAGTTCGATTCGCCGGCGCCATACCGTAGAATAGTGTTCCAGTGGGCTTTATAAAAACGCCCCCCCCCTCTCTCTCTCCCCCTCTCTCTTTCTGTTACTCTCTCACACACGCTCTGTGTGTCTTTCTCACTGTCACGCTCTCTCTCTCTTCCTGTCTTCTTCATTATTCGCTTGGTGTTGTTTCAGCGGTCATACAGCTGGGTACCAGTTCACCGTCCACATACTGCCAGAGTCTGTTAGACATGGCGGACACTGTACCAGACATCAGCCAAGTCCCACTTCTAGAGATGCTCATCAACGGGGCATGTTCAGACATCGTCTTCTTGCCCGATGAAGACACAACAATTGCAGCCCAGACACTAACGACAACGACGACAACAACAAAGCCAACGACAACGTCAGCGACAGCATCAACTGCAACAGCAAAACCTTCGACGGGTAAGCAGAAAGTTATTTGAACTTTCATTGAACTATATGATATTGCCAAATAAGATTAACTGTTTGCGTGACGTCGTTACCTCTGATTAAGTTTAATATTTTCTTTTATTTAATAGCCAATTAGGTACAGGGTGTTGCAGGGAGCGCCGTTACTGTTTGGGGTAAATTTTATCGCGGATGCTTCAAGTAGAAAAGGACATGATTATGATTTTCAAAGAAAACTGAAGTTGTGTATAATGCAAAGTTGTAAATCGATTGAATTTTATAAATATAACAATGTAAAAGTCTTCTTTGACCTTAAACTAATTGCCAGTACATTTTTTCTCTGAAATATCGTTTATGTAATGTTGGTAACTTAAGATATTTTCAGTTGGAAATCAAACATGAGTGAGTGAGTTTAGTTTTAAGCCGCACTCTGCAATATTCCAGCTATATGGCGGTGGTCTGTAAATAATCGAGTCTAGACCAGACAATCAAGTGATCAAATTCAAACATGACAAAATTAGCTGAATGGTATAGGTTCCAGTTGCATCCGGTTTATGATTTATCATATCAGTGTAACTAAGAGACACTATAATTGATATACAGATTTTTCCTTTATCGTTTTCTATGCTTGCACTTACATAGATTCACCACGGTTAATAGTACAGGTGTACACTTTCAGGAACATGCGGAACTGTCTTTAACCCCGAATCCTCTCTGAGAGTCATCAACGGACAGAGGGTGGCTGTAGGGGAATACAAGTTCCTTGTGACGCTCCTTAAAAACGGCCAGGTTGTGTGTACCGCCACAATCATAGACCCAACCCACGTCATGACGGCAGCTCACTGTACTGTGTAAGTTGAGATTGGCTTGTGTAACGGTTCTTCATACTGCTTGTACCACAGTTGATCCATCACAAACTATAGACACAAATATTACAAGCCTTTAATCTCTTTTTAGAGTTTTTCACTTGCGTGGGAAGTGGAAGTATTATGTAACTTATGTGGGTGTATTTGGGGTTGTCTGTTTTACTGTTCAGAACTTATATTTTTATGCCGCCGTTTGTGAACACGCTACAGGTCAAAGTGACACGGATTAGTTCCCCCTGGCCCGTTGAAATAACGCTGATCGATCTACCTCCTCAGTTGCTTTCACTCACGTTTACTCAGCCTCAGGTATCACGGTGAAAGTCAACCATCACAGATGTCAGTTGGCGATGGAGTTAGATCTCCAAGAATAACTCATTCCCGATTCCCGAAACACCAATTTCGCAATTTTCCACTTTGTTTACTAAGTGTTTGCGAGCACACACAACACAGAAAACCAGGACGATAAATTTTGTGTTACTGTCAAGCTAAATTCAATTTTAAAAAAACCTTACCGTGAAAATTTCTGAAACGTAACGTGCAATAAAAAGGTGGTTATGGTGAAATATGTGATGTTTCTTGCAGCAGTACGTCTTGAACTCCATGTGGGATTCAAGGGCACATTGATGTTTAAATATCAACATGAAGTTTGTATGTTTTTACCTTAATATTCATTTAGCGGGGAATGATGATCTACGACTTTGCGTCAAAGATGTTTCTTAAATATTGACTTGGAATGTTATTGGAAGTGTGTTGAGTTGTTGGACGGTAATTGTTGGCACATTTCGGTCGCACAATAACTGCAGAAACCATGGTACGGAAATAAAATGGTATTTTGTTTAATTAAGTGTCTACTCAACTTTATAGTTACGCTTTGCTTTAGTTTCATCCATCGAACACTTTCGCGTTTCTTTTGCGGTTGAGTATTATGATATGTAAATGAAGCCACATGACAGTAACTATATCATTGTAATACGCTCATTACAATACATATACGCAAGGCATCTAATAACGTTTGATAGTCGTTCCCAGCAGGGGTTTTCCCACGCGAGGGTCCTCCAGAGATAGTTGTAAACAATTTGGAACAATTATGAACGGGTCTGTATTCACTGCAGTGAGACAGAACAACGGCGCTACCAATACGTTATCAACTCTAGCATCGCAATTTGTTACCATAAGGTGTTCCAGGTGCTCCTCCAGTGACAGAAAAGCATTCATAGTTTCATATCCTAAATGTCTTATATTGGGGACATTAAATGTAATGGGCTTGGGGATCATAACACATGTATTATATTTTTATAATAATGGTATTCTTACGATAAAGAAACACGATGGTAATAATATCACTTAACCCGATGTACATCCTCAAGTGACCGTTTTCAGACGCTCGACGGCACAACAGCTATCGGTTGGCATAGCCGAGCATGATTTTACCAAGAATGACGGCGAAAAGATCATCCAGGTGAAGACCCTTACCCAGCATCCCAGGTACAACGATGTCCAGTTAGGTATGTTTGATACAATACTATAGTTGGGAAGTCCAATACAATAACAACAACAACAACAGCAACAACAACAACAACAACACAATATTGATCTGTAAGTCAACACATCAACACAGTTGGTATTTGGGGCTTCAGCGATGAACGAACCTATGAGTCATATGGTTTGTATTTCGGCCTTTTGACTTTTTGACTTTTTGAAGGATAAATAGTGGGAAACAACTTTAGTTTCTCTTTCCTGAAATCTTGTATAAATATTGTATTTTGAAGCTCTGGACCCCAGAGTATCTCCATCGTGACCTGTCTGCGGTCACTGTAACCCGATAGCGTGGAATTCAGTGCCTAATATCAATCATTGGTTTTAAACTGCGGTCTAAAAAACGTTCGTTGTAAGGAATGCGTTTTGAAACAACCTCCACGTTAATAGTTTGTTTACAAACTGGTTATTTCTTCAGTGAACGACATCAGCGTCCTGACACTGTCGCAGCCCATCACCGGCATCAAGAACGCCGAGCCTGTGTGTCTCCCAGTCAACGACCAGTGCATGAACCTCCAAGGAAGGAAGTGTATCGTCGCAGGGTGGGGAGTCACCTCACAGCAGGGGGGTACCAGTACGTAGCTGTCATTTGACATGACTTTGTTGTTTAACACAACACTCAGCAATATTCCAGCTATATTGCGGCGGTCTGTAAATAATCCAGTCGGGACCAGACAATCCGGTGACTGATATCATGAGCATCGATCTACGCAATTAGGATACGCTGACATGTGACAACCAAGTCAGCGAGCCTGACCACCCGATCCCGTTACTCGCCTCTTACGATAACCATGGGTTGCTGAAGATCAATTCTAACCCAGTGCGAAAAGGGTAAACTGTGACGTCACAAAAAGTAGTGTCACCTAAAACATTATGACGTCATGACATTAGTACAGACCGACCAAAGAACTCACATCATGGGTTGTTTCAAGACGACGAGAATCATATCGCTAGATCTTTAAACAAGTAATACTACGTGTTGCTTTCTTCTAATCTTATTGACTATATATGTGTCAGTGTCAGCGTCAGACTGACGCGTCACGCTGATATTATAGCCCACAGTTGACGTTATGATGAGGTCACAGGCTAATATTTACGCTTTACTCTAGTGTTCACGTTGTGTTGAGGTTATAGGATTTTGTAAACGTTATGAATCTGTCAGAGTGAGTGTGTGAGTTTAGATTTACGCCGCTTTTAGCAATATTCCAGGAATATCACGGCGGTGGACACCACAAATTGTCTGCACACATTGTACCCAAGTGGAAAATTGAACCCGGGTCCTCGACGTAACGAGCTAACACTTTAAAAACCAGGCTACCCCACCACACTGATGTCAGAGGCTCTTGTGAACGCGGTCAGAACTCATTATGATTTAGTAAGCTTGGGATAAAGTTATCGCAGCAATTGTTAACGTTATTATGACGTCATAGGCAGTGTTAACATCAGGAAAAGGTCAAGGCTACTGCAGACGTAGTGATTAGGTTACACACTCGTGTCAACCTATAGTCACATAGTCCTCCTGGAGCTCCACCGCTAATCAGATCCTAGCTACTGCGTCCATATAGATGCGTTACCTAAATACCACAACCCATTAAACTGTTACCTCTATGTTATCTGCACGTGCTAGCTGTGCGTGACGCGTTTATGTGAAACATACGTATATAGATTCAACTAATGTTTGTGTAGTACAAGGGGGCGGCGGGGTAGCCTTGTGGTTAAAGCGTTCACTCGTCAAGACTATGGCCTGGGTTCGATTCCCTACATGGATACAATGTGTGAAGCCCATTTTTGGTGTCCCTCGCCCGGATGTTGCTGAAACAACGCTAAGAGCGTCAGAAATCGACACTCAATCACTCACTCTTTAAGTACAAATATATATGCAGCTTGAATACAAGAAAGGCCTGGAGAAGATATATGTGTATGTTACTGATTTGCTACCAGATACGTATCCAGACTTCCCCTCCGACGCAAGTGTCCAGGCTTATGATGGGAACTCGTGCCCCTACAGAGAATCACCGCCCAGTGACAAGAATACTCAGATCTGTGCTGCTGGGGAATCCGACACCTGTGAAGTGAGTAGAGTGAGTGTGTGAATGAATGAGTATGGTTTTACGCCGCTTGTAGCAATATTACAGCAATATCACAGCGGAGCACGGTAGTAATAAACTTCACACATTGTACCCACGTACCCTGGACTCGAACCCTATGACGGGCGAATATCTCTACGACGACGACGACGATGATAAGATGATGATGATGATGATGATGATGATGATGATGATGATGATGAAAAACTTAAACTATGTTAAATGCTGTAAGACTGTCTGGCATCATTAGAGGATAGAACGATGACCGGAGAATATTGCTAAAAGCCGCGTACTCATTCTCTCACTCACATTTGGCTGAAATTACAAACATGAAACAACAACGACATCACTTTATTGTACAATACATATTGTGTGTGATGATGAACATTGTCATTGTTATCCTCAGGGGGATTCCGGGGGTCCGTTGGTCTGCCAGTACGGCGGTAGATGGGTCCAGTGTGGCGTTACGTCATACGGGTTAGAGGAATGCAATGTCAAGGACACACAGGGTATCTACACCAAAGTACCTGCCTACAGTACATGGATTCAGTCAGCTCTTGCCAAATGATCACTCGGCCAACTGAACGTCATTCAATAAACATACAGCCATTGCTGGTTGTTCTTTTTTGTTCAACGATTTCTGATCAATTCCTTAGTTAAAAACTGACTTCAACTTTTTGGTTGATTATGTTTTTTTCGTTTATGGATTTATAATGTAACGAACCAGTGGGCACCTAAGGTTTGGTTTGGTTTGGTTTGTTGTTTAACGCCGCTCTCAGCAATCGAGTCTGGACCAGATAATCCAGTGATCAACAGCATGAGCATCGATCTACGCAATTAGGATGCTATGACATGTGTCCACCAAGTCAGGGAGCCTGACCACTCGATCCCGTTAGTCGCCTCTTACGATAAACATTGGTTACTGACGATCAGGTCTAACCCGGATCTTCACGGATGGCACCTTAGGAAAATCCGCGTCGGTTTGAGGACGCATAAAGGAAAAACATACTTATTGCAATACCTGTCGGATTCCGATTAAGCATGTATTGGCGAATCAGGCGAATCCCATCTTTCAAGGACCGGTGTACATAGCATGGACATACACTGGCGACTATTTCACAACGCAGATTTAAACATTATGAATTATTTGAGAATAACACTTACATTAAAGGTTATCCCAACTAACCACGTGAAACAACTCGTAGTTGTTTCTAACAGACACTAATCACGTGAACCAACTCATAGTTGTCTCTAACAGACACTAACCACGTGAACCAACTCGTAGTTGTCTCTAACAGACACTAATCACGTGAACCAACTCGTAGTTGTCTCTAACAGACACTAATCACGTGAACCAACTCGTAGTTGTCTCTAACAGACACTAACCACGTGAACCAACTCGTAGTTGTCTCTAACAGACACTAATCACGTGAACCAACTCGTAGTTTTCTCTAACAGACACTAACCACGTGAACCAACTCGTAGTTGTCTCTAACAGACACTAACCACTTGAACCAACTCGTAGTTGTCTCTAACAGACACTAATCACGTGAACCAACTCGTAGTTGTCTCTAACAGACACTAATCACGTGAACCAACTCGTAGTTGTCTCTAACAGACACTAATCACGTGAACCAACTCGTAGTTGTCTCTAACAGACATTAATCACGTGAACCAACTCGTAGTTGTCTCTAACAGACATTAATCACGTGAAACAACTCGTAGTTGTCTCTAAAAGACAATCACGTGAACCAAACTGCTTCAAAATCTGCAGAGATATCACCGACACAGTGTACGACGTGACGAACTCATATATAGTGTAATAAGTTGACAGGCTTTTCGACCTTTGCCTGACAATCCTGTCATAGATATGGCATGAATTAAATCACAGTTTCAAAACATGTTCTTGTATGGCCTCGGTCACTACAAACATGACTTGGTTTCCTGAAACCTGGAAACCGTCTGTATAGTGGGTAATTGGGGAATCCAGTTGGTTTCCATTCACTGAAACTGGGTAACTGAGTTTCCAACTAGATTCCATTTTGGATTCTGTGATTTTTGCATTTCTGTAAATGGAAACCAACAAGAAACTAAGGTTATAGGTTTCTTGTTGGTTTCCATTCCTGGAATTTGCAATTGAAGATTTCATTAAATGGAAAACAACATAAAACCAGAAAATGTAGTTTCATGTTGGTTTCCTGTGCACTGTTTTGAACTAAGAATTTGACCATCATGGCATCCAGTTGGGTTCCTAATAGAATCCATAATAGACACTGTAAACTTATAGTTCCGGAAATTGAAACCAACAAGAAACTATGGTCATGTGTATACTGTTGGTTTCCATTTATGAAACTTAGTTTTGAAGATTAACTGTTTTCATATCATATTACATTATCAGTAATTGTGTAGAATAATTATGAGGTCTTAAAATTCAAAATGAATATGCCTGGGGAAGGAATAGCAGATTTTCATTTGAAAGAGTACATAATTTGTAAGATTGCTTAGATGAACAAGACGAAATGTTACCCCAAATAGTTGTTGATGCATCATTCGGTGGATAATAACATAATTGTATAATGTGTCTTCAAACTGATGACACAAAAACAAAAGACACATTTCATTTCTTCACATTCCGTGGCAACGGCCATGTTTCGTTTTCAAAACTAACTTGGCGTCAACTCCGTGTTTTGGAAAGAGTAATTCGTGATCAACTCGTGTTATTCCGGGACAAGCCGAATAGTGTCATGTGCCTAGGGCAGCGGAAAGGGCGAAAGGACAGGTGGGAGAGAATTGTAGCTCTGTGTTCGAGGGAACAGTTCAGGGAGCAGGTACCATGGATCAAGCAGCCCGAAAATGACACGACTTCTTTCAACTAAACTTTGCAGCCATCATTACCTCGAGTAGGCACTGAACAAACAACAACAGAAGTGACGCAACATACGCCATATTTGGGTTTCTTTGAGAGGCCCTTTAGAAGTTGTGAAGATGATTCATCACTTGCTTGATAACGGTGTTAGTACCTACACCGAAACGTTGCAATAAAGAAGTTAACTATTCATAGATCTTGGTTTTCCTTCATATTTGGGTTTACACATTCTCACTAATGTACAGAATTCGGTACAAAACGTCACAGAATCTGTACTTTACTGAGAAAGTGTAAACCAGAATATAGCAAATGTTTCATTTGACACTTTCTAAAAGGCATTGTGTGTTCATAAATAACGCGTCATACCAACAGACGTTAAAATATGGTACTTGTTGGTCCCTGCCTGGCGCTCGGCATTAATGGGTACAACACTGACTGACTGACTGAGTTTAGTTTTACGCCGCTTTTAGCAATATTCCAGCAATATCACGGCGGGGGACACCAGAAATGGGCTTAACACATTGTGCCATGTGGGGAATCGAACCCGGGTCTTCGGCGTGACGAGGCAACACTTTAACCACTAGGCTACCCCACCGCCCCAATGGGTACAACAAGGACTGGTCGGCTCGGAGTCAGTATAATGTGTCTGAGTGGGGTATTCATGCTTCACTGCGGCATGGTATCTCAGTTGGCTAGCACTATAAAACCAAGCAGCCGCACATACATATACACACGCATGCACGTCGTCCTATGAGCGAAATATTCTCAAGCACGACGTTAAGCCCAATTTCACCTCACCTCACCTCATAGATAACAGAAGTGGATCCAGGATTTTAAAAGTGTGTGCATTTTACCCGAGTTGTGAATTTATATTTGGTCAATCGAGCAGGTAACATGAAATATAAGGAGCCTAAAAAATGAAGTGAGAATCCACTCTCTACCCTCCTCCTGGATATGCGATGTCTGACATTTTAACCTGCAAATATGTATTTGTTAAAGCTGGACTTTGGTTATGTTCTTAAGGATACTTTTCTAAACAGGAATGAGGTATTCGTAACTGAAACCTTTTTCGTGATACACATTTCACAAAAGTCATGACAGAATCTCACAGTAAGTCTCTCACCTTTTACTGCAGCATCGGGTGGAAGCGTTAACCCATTGTCTTTGGTGGTCCTCCTGGAACATATCCGTAAACAGCCTTCACTTGACAACGTAGCTGCCTTGTATGATATCTCATGGCTATGGTGTCCCAATAAGTCCGGTAATATGCAGCGTAATTACCCCCAACCTTCATGTTATTTCAAAATGGTAATATTTTAAAATACAGACGAAGTCATTAAGAGAACAAATATAATATATTTTACGAATGCTTCTATAAGTAAAGGCTTAAAATCTTATGGTCATGCTTCGCTCTCCAACGGATCAAAACCAGTCTGGATTATACAAATACAGCTGTAGGCCAGTTTAGCTATAAAACCTGTATGTTTTCAGAAAAGAGAAAGAAATAAAGTGTTATCCTAGAGAGCATGGTAGTTGTATTAATTTGATCAGATGTTATTCATATGATGATTTGTAGCAATATTAAAGCTTTTTCACGGGTTATTTCCACCATTGTTTCCTGTGATCAACATCCCACAGCGTCGGAGGACGATAAAACTTAACATTCTGATTCGAAACAATATGAAATGAAAGTACAAATGTGATGCAATTCAAGCATTCTTACGTCTGAATTTCTTGGTGTAAAGTGTACACATAAATATTTCAGGCTGTGACACGAATCAAAGCAAAAACAAATTAAGAGCAATAAAATGTTGAATAAAATTCATGACGAATGTCTAAATGACTCTAATTACTGATATGTGGCAGTTGTATTTACTGAGTAACAGCGTTGTAATAGTGTTTTATTGTTTTTGCGACGATGCTGTTGTTGTGAGTTTAGTTTTACGCCACACTCAGTAATATTCCAGCTATATGGCGGCGGTCTGTAAATAAACGAGTCTAGACCAGACAATCCAGTGACCAGCAGCATGAGCATCGATCTGCGCTATTGGGAACCGATGACATGTGTCAACCAAGTCAGCGAGCCTGACCACCTTATCCCGTTACTCGCCTCTTACGACAAGCATGGGTTACTGAAGATCAATATTCTAACCCGGACCGTCACGGGTCTGTTGCTTATGTGTTGTTAAAGAGATTCAAGATGAAAATACAGTTCTTCGCATGTGAAGACGGGTAGGTACTTATCTAGACAAGAGCATCTTGGACTGCAGCCAAACGTCAAGAACATATTTCACAACATACATCTTGACAAAATGCCAGTGCTTGACATCTTGACAAAACGCCAATGCTTTGACATCTTGAAAAAAACTCGATGTCTTGACATTTTGAAAAAAACAACCCGCGATGTCTTGATATCTTGACAAAACGCCAATGTAATGAACTCTTGGCAAAACGCCATTGAACATCTAGCACTAATGTAGCCATGCAGTCGATTTTCAATTTCAATTTCATCGACGTGTCTTCGCTCTCACGTTTACCTGATTTTCATTTCAATGTATTTATTCCTTCACTCCAGCCAGACACTATATCCATTTCAGTACATCCACGGTGTCACAGCGCAATGATTATTGCTATGAATCCACTCAACCTAGCCTCATCCCGACCTCTAAATATCTACTGGAAGGAGAACACCCTGTAGATATTGTGTTGTGTAA